AAGGTGCCGGGTCCAGACTTGACTGAGGTGGGGACATTCCTGGAGGAGGAGGGATTCAGCAAAGAATGCACCCACGGGGGCCTTCAGGAGAGGTGTGACCCTGGGGCCAACCACAGCGACTGAGCTGATAGTCCTTGGAGCTGTGTCCTGTGGAGCAGAGAATTAAGATGTGGTGGGCCGGCTTTAGACCAGATTTAGACCCCACAGGCCCCGCAGTGTCACCTAGCAGCAGGCAGGCCTGCAGTTCTCACTACCCACCTGCAGGTGCCACAGGGAAAATCTAGTCCCCTATTTGAGTGCCTGGATCCATGCAGGTGTAGACCTATGAAGGTGGGATGAGGACAGGTGTGAATGTGTGCTGGTCTTTTTTTACAGTGGTTGATACTGCCGACCACATCCTCTAATGCAGTCTCTTGGCTCTGCAACACTCCAGCATGAGAGTAAGATTTATTAAGGTTTCGTTGTATATCAGACACTGTGCCAGATGCTATAAACCACACCACATCTCATTTAATCCTCTCAGCTCTCTATGAAATGAGTCTTGTCATCCCTGTTTTATGCAAGAGGAACTTGAGGCTTAAAGAGATGACATGATGTGCCCCAGGTCACAGAGATGTAGAATTGGACTGTGAACCTTGGTTTTCCACACTGCAAAGCCTGCGCGGTGGTATGCAAAAGGTTATGTGTCTGTGCCTGTGTACTCTTCCGAGAAGAGGAGCTGTGGGGTTTTTGTCTTTTAGGAGACAGGCTGAGGCTTTTTTAGTACCCCGGATTTGTATGGCTGGAAAAGCAAAGAAATACTCAAATCACATCCAGGTCTTACTGCTTCTCCTTCCCTGAAATTCCTGAGGAAGCCCTACATCAGGACACTGACCAGTAGGAAAGGAGAGAAGCCCTGAAGTGCTAGCGACAGTACCCTGTTTATCGTGGGGCTCGCTGGGGCTTGAGCCCTCGTACAGGGCTCTTTTCTCCCAAAGACTGACACTACCCTCAGCCAGTGCTGCCAGTCCACAGCTGGGCCACTCAAATGGGCTTCTTCAGTTCTGCAGAAAGGCTCTGCTATTTCTCTACCTTCCCAGTCTTTCTGGGTTCTGCTGCCCTGTCTGTTGCGCGCACACACACACATACATACCTCTCCCAGAGACACAGAAAAACAACATAAACTTGTCATTTGCTCACTCATTCTGATGGGCTGAGACTGAGATACCTGCCCTGAGGGCCTGTCTTTTGAGCTGACCATGAAGGACAGAAAATGTCTACCAGAGAAAGAAATGTTGCGGCCAAGTGGGAAACAAGAGATCATGGCTGGAGCCAAGACAGTCTATTGAAGGGGCAGCTGCAGAAGAGGCTCAGCAGCACCCATTTCTGCTGAGGCTGTCATGTCTCTTATTACCACGCAGGATTCCTCCTCACTGCCCACACTGGGCTGGGCTCTGGACTACAGGGATGAATCCGATGGGAGCCCTGCCCTGTAGGGTATAGGCACACAGCACGCTGCTGATGTGCACTCAGCCTGAATAGTGTCATTTAATTCTCAAAGCAGCCCACAAGGTAAATACTAACAGTCCCTAGTTTATCCGTAAGAAACCTATGTATTCCTAGCCCAGGATCTCCACACAGTAAGTGACCAGAGCTAAAGGTGAACCCCAAGAACAGGGTCTTTTTTGTTTATTGAGATAAGATCTCACCATGCAGTCTGGGCTGGCCTTGAACTCACAGTGATCCTCCTACTTCAGCCTCCTGAGTGCGGGGATTATAGGTGTGCACCACCATGCCCAGCAAGACCAAGGATCTTAACTTCATGTTTTGTTGCTTCTTGAAGGACAGCTGTCAGTTCTGTGTCGGGTCAAAGAGGATCAGAAAGGCCATGAGAGAGGCAGGTGCTGGGTAGGGTGGATCACATGGAGGCAGGGATGGAGTACTAGAGACTAGAAATAGCAGGAGCATGGAAGTAAGAATTAGAGGCATCTTCAGAGGGGCTGAGATTGAACCCAGTGGGGTAGGCAGAACTTCCTGGATGGAAGTTGATGGAAATGATGCGTTCTGATTTGGTTTTTGTAAGACCATTCTGGCAGAGTGGAAGGTAGTTTGGGAGACAGAGGCAGCCTGTTTTGGGCACTGACTCTGAGTGTTAAATATGCAGATAGATTCAACAGTTGGGTAGTATTTATGCTTCAGTCATTCTGCTGAGCTTTGGGGTGTTGACCAGTCATTATTATAGCATGATGAGGCCTGGACCTGAGGTGGTAGCAGTGGCTTTGGGAGCAAGGCATGAATCAGTAGGATTCTAAGGAGATAGGAGCAAAAGGACCCAATGTTCAGTAGGACAAAAGGGTGAGAGAGGAACTCTGAAGATTCCAGGTTTCTGCTTTAGAAGATGGATGGGCAGAAGAGGAAGAGGACACAGGAGGACACACAGATCTGGGGAGCAAGACACTGTTGATGTCCAGCAACAGGAGTAGTTAAATAAATTATCCATGTGACAGAATTCTCAAAAAGTAATTTTAATGTCTATGACATTTGGTTACATAGATGGGTCATGTATTATCTAACCAAACCAGCAAAAGGACCCGATGTTCAGCAGGACAAAAGGGTGAGAGAGGAACTGTTGTTTTTTTCTGGTTTTTCACTTTTATAAATAACACTGTGATAAGCCAGGTATGATGGCACACACCTGTAATCCTAGCCACCCTGAAAGCTGAGGTAGAGGATCACAAGTTCAAGGCCAGTTTGGGCAACTTAGTGAGACCCTGTCTCAAACTAAAAATATAAAATAATTTTTTAAAATACGCTGTACAGAGGTCTTCACCATTCTGATTTTTTTGTTTTGTTTTGTTTTTCTCCGGTACCGGGAACCGAACTCACGACCTTGCGCTTGCCAGGCAGGCAATTTGCTGCTGAGCTAAATCCCCAGCCCCCTCATTACTTTTAGAAGGGAAATGTTGGGGTCATAGGTATAAACAGCTTTGAGGCTTTATGCATATTGTCCAATACGTTTGTATAAGAAGGCTGTACCAAATTTTGCCCCTCTAGGAGCAAGAATTTTACCTCAGCATACTGCTACCAGTGCTGAGGTATATAGAGAGATATAGAGATACAGATATAGATATAAGTATACATGCATATATATATATATACATATATATATATATATATATATATACTATATTAGAGTTCACTAGAGAAACAGATTTAATATAAAATATGTGTACAATTATAGAAAAGATTTACTCGTAGGTTTGGGTAAACCCTATGGCTCTCTACTATCAAAGGTGGAAGAATGCAAAAAAAATACCTTATTTGGATAAAAGGGAACTTTATCCACTGTTGGTGGGAGTGTAGACTAGTGCAGTCACTGTGAAATCCGTGTTGCTCATTAGTTAATAGACATTTGAGCTGTTTCCAAGATTTAGCTATTATAAACTGTGCCACTATAAACATGGGTTTGCATATATCACTGTGGTATGATGCTTTTATATATATACTGGGAATTGAACTCAGGACTTTGCACTTGCCAGGCAGGCGCTGTGTCACTGAGCTATACCCCCTGCCCATTATGATGCTTTTACATCTTTGAAGAAGATACCAAGAAGGGATCACTGTGAGTTCTCTAGGCCAACCCTTGCTACAAAGTGAGTTCAAGGCCAGCACAGTGAAACCCTGTCTCAATAAGACAAAAATATAATAATAATAATAATAACAACAACAACAACAAGATGAGATCTTGTTGTGATATTTATGAGATGATTGTGATATTTCTTGTGCAACTGGGGTTTTGTTCATGAAATCTTTGCCTACACCAATATCTTCTTTAAGGGTTCTACCTATTCTGTCTTCCAGCAGATTTAGTGTTTCTGTTTTCATATTTGGATCTTTGATCTATTTCAATTTTAGTTTAATGTATTGTGAGCTATATGGGTCCAGTTTTAGTCTTCAGCATATGGAAACCCAGTTTTCCCAGCGCCATTTATTAAAGAACTGTCTTCCAGTGAAGGTGTCTGGCACCTTTGTCAAAGATAAGATGGCTGAGTGCGTGGAGATAAGGTGGCTGAGTGTGCCTGGAGTTGTTTCTGCATCTTCTAATCTGTTCCATTGCTTCTTGGGTCAGTGACCGTTACTTTGGAGCCTCTGGTGATGCTTCCAGCTTTGGGGTTGGTTTTCAACTTCCTCCAGCAGTACTCAGGGGCCCAACTGTAAGGGTAGAAGAGTGGAAGAATGGATTGATACTAAGGTCAGTTTCCCTATCTAGGGCAGTAGAAGCACAAGACGCAAGATATTAAAGGGGCTCTCAAGACAGTAGTGGAAGTGTTTACTATGGGGTTTAGATCAGGAAGGGATGGGGGACCCAAAGGTCTCCATGTAGTGGATGAGTGGAGGGTTAGGAGAGGAGGTTATGGCCCTGGAACAGACACAGGATGTCAGGCTTCAGGAGTGACACCTTTCCAGCATGATCCAGATCCCTGAGGGAAGAATATCTCATTTTACGGTTGATGAAGCTGACGTCACCCAACCCTAATTAGTAGCAGAACTGTGGTTTGAGTGTCATTCTGCTGTCCTATAGAGCTATGTTTTGTCTTTATTTTTCAGGTTCACTTTAGCACAGTTGACTGAGAGCCAGGAGAGTGAGCAGAAGGGAAAAGAGACAAGCTCTACAGAGCAGATAGGAGGGAGAAGCCAGGTTCCTGGACAGTGCAGTGGGGAGCAGGACAACTGGACCCTTGGGTCTTCCTGTTAGCCCACGGACCCCCTCTGGCCAGAGCAGCATTTCTGAGAGCCTCCCATAACCCGTGCCCTCCCTGCAGCTCACTGTGTATCCTCTGTTATACACCATGGCCCCAACACATGCTTATCCTTCCCTGCCACTTGCCTATGTGTCTGTCACACATTCATTGCCCTCCACCTCACTTCCCGTTTACCTGTGCTCACTGTGGGTCCCTACCACTCACCTGACCCATCATCAGTGTATACCTAGCTCACGCCCACTTACACTGTGTCCTCAGAGCGCATCGGATGGCTTCTGGAAATCTGTGGCTACTCGAGTCCCCAAGGAGCCCCCCGAGATTCGCATCCTCAACCCATATTTCATCCAGGAAGCTGCCTTCACCCTCATCGGACTGCCTTTCAACAATGGCCTCATGGGCCGGGGGGTGAGACGCTGGGCCCGGGGAGAGGGAGGGAGAGAACAGGGCCAGAGGTGCCCTGGGAGGGGTGGCTGGGTAGCCGTGGTCCTGGGGAGGATGCTTCAGGAAGGAAGGCTCCTCCTTGGGAATGGACGTTACCAGCTCTGTGGAGCTATGTGACCCTCAGCACTCAGGCTGCATTTTACACGCTCCCTCTCTGCCCTTCTCCAGAACATTCCGACCCTTGGCAGCGTGGCGGTGACCATGGCACTGCATGGCTGTGATGAGGTGGCAGTTGCAGGCTTCGGCTACGACATGAGCACGCCCAATGCACCCCTGCACTACTATGAGACTGTACGCATGGCAGCCATCAAGGAGGTTCGAGCGGATATGGGGACAGGACCTGGGCGGGGCCAAGGGAGGGGGCTTCCAGCACAAGGAAAGGCTTGGACTGAACCTGTCCAGTGAGTGGCAGAGGGACAGCCCCCAGGAGGGCCTGTCCACCCTCAGCTAGTCAGAGCCCTGAAGGTCCACCCTGTACGCAGGATGACCACCAGCATCCCGCCTGCCCCTCTCCCAGCCACCCCCTGAAGCCAGTACCCACTGCTCACCCTTCTCTCCATGGGGCCCTCCCTGCCCTCTCTCTGCAGCTCACCCACCCCCGCCTCTCCTTGCTCCTCACCCACCTCAGACATACCCCGGTCTTCACAGCAGGTCAGGGCGCCTTCTCTGCAGGCCCTGCCTTCCCCTTTGCTGCCCTCACACAATCCACATCCGTTGTGCCGCCCCTGCCTTTCCCTGTGGCCAAACACAGGTGCTCTGTGTCGCCCAGAATTGCTCCCAGACGACCCTTATGTACAGGGAGCTTCCCAGACTGTGGGTCAGCCTCTCTTGGCATCTCTGTCTGCACCGCAAGGATCTCATGTGCAAAATCCAAACTCTCTTCCCATTCCTTAGCTTCTGCCACCAGCCTCCCATGGACCCGACCTGAGACTTGGAAATCTTGGGCCAATGCCCCCAGCGGCTTCCCTGCCCCTGTATCCGGGTGACTGTGTGCATTGGAACAATCTCTTGTCTGTCAGACTCACACTGCTGAATCTGGAGGCTCCGGTCCCCACAAGTCCTCATTGCTGCCCATCATTCTCTTCACTGCCGCTCCCGCCCCCAGCACACTGTCCAGAGCGGCATACTGCACACGCTTCCAGCGGGCCCCTCCCCAGGAAGAGCGCTGGAGCTGCACAGGGGACTCGGTGGGCTCCCAGGGGAGCACCCCTTAGCACTTCTCTCTCACTCAGCCCTTTACACACACACACACACACACACACACACACGCCTGACACAACTTCCCCGAGGTTGCCAGTGACCTACCTCAAGGCTGCCCAATACAGTAGCCACATCCCATCTTTTGTGATCTCCCAGAAACACTTTCTCTGTGTGGGCCTTTCCTTCTTGCTTAGATTCTGAGTCATTAACTTCTGATGTTCCTGTTCTTTCATTCACCCATCTCTTTCACTGACTGTGTTGTGTCATTGGTTTTGGTCTGCCCTGCAGGAACTAAGATGAGCTAACACTCTACCGCAGATTATCTTATCCGCATGTTCTCCACATTTACATCCCCATCTTCAATTAACAGCTATGCTGTATTAGGCTTTTTTGGTTTTGTTTTTTGAGACAGGGTCTCTATATGCAGCTCAGGCTGAGTTTGAACTCACTGTGTAGTCCAGGCTGGCTGCAAACTTCTGGCAATCTTCTTGCCTCAGCTTCCTGAATGCTGGGGTCACAGGTATGCGCCACCACACCCAGTGTTCTTCTGGTTCTTGATCTAGCAGAATACTGGACTCTCTGACTTAAAGAAGAAAATTTTATTTCTCAGTCCTGGAGGCTAGAAATTAAAGATCAAGATACCAGCAGTTTCATGTCCGGTGAGGACCCACTTCCTGGCTCACAGAGAGCTGTCTTCTCACTGTGTCTATACACAGTAGATAGGGTACAGCTACTCTCCTGAGTGTCCTGGAGGGACACTAATCCCATGAGAAACGGCTGCTGGAGGGAAAAGCTGAGTTGCCTGCTGGCTGTGCTGAGAACAGCGCCACAGTGTAGGGAGTAGGAGCCAGGTGCATTAGTGAACGGTGACTGGAGGCCTACAGAGGCTGCAGGTGGGCACCTGCTGAATGCTCCGGCAGGACAGAGGAGAGGAGCAAGGGTGTGTGGCAGCTGGAGGGTAAAGCAGTTCGTACAGGGTCTGCCACACCTCTGCACAATCTGGGCTGGAAATAGAGACTGAGCTGTGAACACAGCCACTTGCTCAGATAGAGGCCTTGCTGCAGCTTCCCAGGAAAGGATGTAGGAAGCATGGTCAGTGCAGAACACCAGGATAACAACAGTCTATGGCTGGGCACAGGAAGAGGAGCCAGACAGGCTGAAAAGGGGCCAGGCACGGTAGCATGCGCCTATAATCTTAGCACTTGGGAGGCTGAGCTGTGAAGAGCATGAGTTTGAGTCCAGCCTAGGCTGTATAGTAAGTCCTTGTCTCAAAAAAGTGAGACCCTATCTCAGGCTAAAAAATAGGGGAACCCTGCTGACAGTGTGGACTGGTGGGTGGGCACCTATGTCCAGGGTCCTGTGCCAGCCCACAGTACTGCGGAAGCTCCGTGAGGCTCCTAAGTGTTCTACACAGAAGAGAAATTAGGACGAGCACCCAAGAGGGCGTCACCTGGAGAGCAGACTGGCGTCGCCCTAGGGCAGACTTTTCTGCCTGCTTTTTCATTATGAAAGGAAATTGTTCAGTACTTCATAAGCCAGGAGAGTAACCTACTGCACACCCCTGTGTCAGCTGCCTACACATGGCCAGTATCATTCCACACCTTCTCCCTCTCATGCTCCCAACCCCCCGATCACGTGGGTGCAGGTATCAGATATGTTATCATTCCAGCCATAAGTGCTTCACTTTCTCTGAAGGATAAGTACTATTTTTGTTACTACATATCTTAGAATTAACAATAATTCCTTAGCATCATCAAGTAGTCTTGTGCTCACCTGTTAGCCCTCAGTGACTCCTAGTGGGTGCTCTTGAAACTGACCCGTCAAACTTCCCACAAGGGGAGATGTGGCAAAGTGAGGGGCTTTATTGGTGTCTGTAGGTGCTTGGATCTTAGTCCTGCCAGTCCTATGAGCCTGCTCCTTGCTTGTGACGTCTAATTTCATTCAGCAAATACGTTTTGAGCACCTACCCTGTGTCTAGCAGTCCCTGCCCCCAAGCAGAGACAGTGAGCCAGAGGCTTGAACCTTCAGAGAATGGGGGTGCATCCCCTGGGGATGTGCAGCAAGCGGGAGCACTTTGAAGACAGCAGAGTGCCATGACAGATCGCCAGGAGCAGCTGGGGGGTTAGGGGGTGTGGAAGGACCACCAGGTAGAAACAGGACGAAGAGTGAGGGAGAGCCACGTGCCTCCGGCAACCCAGAGAAAGGGAAGAAACTGGGGCCACTCGAGGCAGTCTGGGGTGCTGTCCTTTGAGATAGCCACCTGTGTGGCTCACACAAGGTTGGAAGGACTTCAGAGCAGAGGAATATGGGGAATTCTGCTCATGATGGCCTGAGCTCCACAGTGAAAGGTTGGAGAGGGCTGCCAGGAGCAAGATAAGGGCTGGACAGAGGCCTGGGTTCTTTGCACCAGGACACAGTGGCTGTAAGTGGGTGTGCTGAGGCACAGGGCCAGTAAGGGTGGCAGATAGGCCAGCTGGTACAGGAATGAGGAGGCTGCTGCCCTTTCTCCCCTCTTTTCTTCCTCCCTCTCTGCCTTTCTTCTTTCCTTCCTTCCATCCACTGATCAAGCCTTTTTGTTGTCTGAGGGACTTAGTCATCCAAGCTTCCTGATGAGCACACACAAAATGGGAAAGAACTCTGTCCCAGAAGCCCTGGTTGGCATTGTCTTCCCTGTAATTTCCATATAATCTTTTCTAGCAAATTTTAAATATATAGTGCATTTTTATTAACTATAGTTAAGCCGGACATGGTAGCACTTATCTGTAATCCCAGCACGCGGGAGGCTGAGGCAGGAGGATTGCCGTGAATTTGAGGCCAGCCTGGACTACATAACAAAACAAAACCCTGTAGTCAAATGTTCTCAGCATAGGAAATAAGGATGTAAGGTAATAGATATGTTAATTAACTTGATTTAATCATCCTGTAACGTATACATGTACAAAAGTCACATTGATCACATTGTACTTCATAGATACATACAATTATTATTTGTCAATTAAAGATAAACATTTAAGCTGGGTGTGGTAGCACACATCTATAATCCCAGCACTTGGGAGGCTGAGGCAGAAGGGCTGCAAATTCATTCAAGGTCAGCCTGGTCTACAGAGCAAGAGCTAGTCTCAGAAATCAGTAGGAACAACAACAACAAAAAGAGTAGGCTCTGTTCCTCAGGCTCTCTGGCTGCTGTGATGCGGGAGGCCAGATTCATCAGCTGCCCCAGGACTGAAGAGTGGATTGCATCAGGCCAGAGAATGACTCTGCACCTCTTGCTGTGGGACTAAAGTGACTCACCTGGCTGGCTTCCGGCCATGGTTTGGGCTCTGAGGAAACAGAGTCCTTCCTCCAGCACTGAGGCCCACGGCACACAGGACTGGAAGAAGTCGGGGCATAGTGCTGAAGGAATGCATGGAGGGTGGGAGGGTCATTCTGTCCAGGTCTTGAGAAGGCAACATGAGCTCTGGCAGTGGTGACAAACCTATGGCATGTGTGCCAAAGCAGGCACATGGGGTTCCCCAGCATCCAAGCGTGGGATATTCGGTATATTAATTGCAGTGTTAGCATTTTGTGATAAATAAGTGGGGTCTGAGTTGTAGTTTGGGCGCTCAGTCTCTAAAAGGTTGCTAAGCAGGGTCGTCACAGTCATGCAGGCACAATGGATGACAAGTATCTGCCTTCACATGTCCATTGTCACAGACATCCCAGAGGGAGGGGACCAGAAGAGGGCACCAGCCTGGGTTTGCAGAGGGTCTTGTGTGTCTCAGCTGCCACCTGGGCTGCCCACCTCATCCCTTCTTCATCTCTTTCCTTCCAGTCCTGGACACACAACATCCAGCGAGAGAAAGAATTTCTGCGGAAGCTGGTGAAGGCACGCGTTATCACTGACCTGAGCAGTGGCATCTGAGTGGGCCTAGCACTCGGCCACAGAGGCCCGGGCACCACCAGAGCAAGCAGCGGTCCACTGCGCAGGAGTCTTCAGACCCAGAGAAAGACAGTGCCAAGGGGCCCCAAAGGCAGCAAGGCCTTGGCAGGGCAGCCAGAGCGGTACCTGCTACGAGGCCAGCCTCAGAGACCAGCACGCAGCTTCTCTCCGCCTGGGTCCGTGAAGCCAGAGGGCCAGGGAGCCACAGGCTATGCCCAGCAGGCCCAGCATGCAGGAGGTGGGACGTTAGGCAGTGAGGATGCTGCCGGAATCATTTCTCCAATCAGTGTTCGGTGTATTATCATTTTGTGAACTTGGGTGGGGGGAAGGGAGGGATAATTTATTTTTAAATCAGGTTGGAGATATTGTTTGGTCCACTTGCCATGCAGAAAGAGGCCCACTAGAGGGCCCATCAGGCCGCGGTACCAGTTAGCTCCCTGGAGAGTGGGGAGTGTTATGCCCAGCCTGTGCCCTACTCTGGGACTACAGAGAGGTGGCAGCATCTCATTACAGCCCCCTCCAGCTCATGGCACTCTTTGGCCTTTCTTGGGGATGAAATGGGGTATTTCTATTCACCAGCCCCCAGCCTTCCCGCCTGGAAGCCCTGGGGCCATCTCTTCAAAGCCAACAAGACAGCCCCCTGGGCTAGAGCAGAGAGAACTTTAAAGGAGGGGAGACCTGGCCCAGCCTGACAGGAAGAACTCCCCCTTCCAGCTGCACCTGACCTACAGGACAGTTTCCCTGCCTGGACTGACCAGCCTGTCAGATGTTCTGGGTTTCTGTAATGGGACTGCCCAATCCTTGGGTTTTGCCTTTATCCTGGAACACAGGGAAGTGAGGTCTAAGGGCCTTGTGCAGGCTGTGGCAGGCAGCCCTCATGGAAGCAATAAAGCTCTTCCCTGAACCTGACCTTTTGCTTTTGCTGATTTTCGTGGAAGGAACAGGAGCCCGGAGCTTCAGCGGCTGAGCCAAACCCAAGAATCTTCTCTCCAGCCCACCATGTCCCTTTCATTCCTTCAGAGGCCTCTGGGGTTTCCCCTGGCCCCCACAGCCCCCATATCCTCTTTGCCCTGAAAGAAACAGACAAGCAGTAGCACCGAGCAAGGCCCCAGACTTTTTCCACTCCTGACACCCTGGTGTGTCCTCCAGAGGCACGCAGCCCAGCTCTGGGTATCTCTTGGGGAGCTTTAGAAAGGACATTCCCATACCGCCGCATGCCCTTAGAACCTTAGAATCAGATCCCTCTCTTCCTCAGCACCCCCTGGTTTGAGAATAAGCAGACTCACATCTGCATCTGAGTCCATGAAGGGAGCTTGCTGCCAGACACTGTCGCTGTGGCAGTGAGTAGGATGGCAGCCCCCGCACCATTCTGTTCTACCTTAGTCCAAGAGTGCAGGCTGCCCTGGGCCTTCCTACTGGTGAGACCCCTGAGGACAATCCTGGCCATCCAAGGACCCCGACTCCCCGCGTGCCCTCCTTATTGCCGCAGTCTGACCTCAGGCAGAAGCCTCCTCCACTAGGAGGAAGCAAGGCCCTGAATGAGAGACAGGGAAGCCCATAAACACCCCTACACTCTGTTGGAGACAGGGTTCCTAATAGTGTGCTACTCCAACGCCTGAGCGGCACGCAGTGAAGTTGTGCAGGGCTGGGTGCCATGCCTGTAAGTGATGGCCTTGGCTGAAAAAGTCCCAGGGAAGCTGCCCCAAGTGGGCAGCCGTAATGGGAGGCAGCAGAGAGCAAACTTCATGGCTTAGCCCCGTGTCGCACGGAGGCCTGTGCAGCTTGCAAACAGCCCCCAGCAGCAGCAGTGACTTTGGTCTGCAGCACTGCATAAAACTCCCTCACAAAAACTGGTTCTGAGCCCTGGCTGCGTGCCAGAATTACCCGTGCAAGTCTGGAAAACTGCACCTGCACAGCCTGCGATTCTGATTCAGCTCTGGGGTGGGGCCCGGATGTAGGTAGTTCTTAAAGGTCCACAGTGATTCCGGTGCATAGCTTGGGTGCAGCTGGTCTGTACATGTTCCCTGAGTCCTTGTCCCCACCCACAGCCTCCACTGTGTGTCATTTGGTCAACACTGACTTGAAGATTGCCATCACCGGCCAAGTTCTCTCCATTTCACTCCAGGCTACAAATTCAGCTGCTTCCTGATTTCCACTTAGGAAAACCCACAGGCCTTTCTACCACTACATGTCCAGCACCATGCTTACAAGTCCTACCCCTGCCCGAGCGAGCCCTGCTTCCCCTCCACCTGGTCACCCAAGCCACAGCTGAGGGCACACCTTTGTCCATCCTATCCCCCCCATCTAAATAGGCACCAACTGCATTTTCAAAAGGGTGTATGGGGCGCGGGGTGGGCCTGTGTGGCCCCTGGCTCCCCATAACCTTGCTCAAGCCTAAGTCCCCAGAGCTCCCTGGGGAGAGGGTTCGGGTGACAGCCACCTCTCCTGTCTTGCCTGTCTCCAAACCATCCTTCCCACAGCAGCTAGTCATCCTGGAAAATGCATCTCTGAGCACACCTTTCTGCTCAAAACCTTTCGGTGGTCCAGGCGTCTTTGGCGTAAAAGCTAGGCACTTCGGTGTGAATTTTCCAGCCCACCGGCCACATTGCCACAATTAGGCAACGGAATTGCCACCCTTCCCTCCTGTTTAAAGCCTCAGCTCCTGTTTTCCTACTCTGTGACCCTCCCCTTCTGCAGCTGTCACACCCACTTCCTCCCTCTCTGCCTCGGCTATGCCGGGGACCAAGGTGTTTGCCCGGGCCTCTCTCCCTTCCCAGCGGCTCTGGAGGTGAGCGGTGGGAAGACTCGCCGCCCTCAGGTGGAGGAGCAATCTGTTGAGAGACAAACCAGCTGGAGGTCCCACCAGCCAGGACCCCGTGCTCTGCACGCCTAGCGCCCGCGTGGCCAAGGCCAGGACCCGCCTGTCCCTCCCGCCCGCCCTCACTCGCTCCCTCCCCTCTCGCCCAGCCTCCAACTCCCCACTTCGCGCGTCTACAAACTCTAAACTCCCAGTCTCCGCGCCTTTCCGCCGCCTGCCTTCCCCACTCTTTTCCTCCCGGGGTCCTCTCCCAGCGTCTACCCCGGGCCTTAGGGTACACAGCAGAGCCAGTGGGGACCTAATCCTCGGGGGAGAGCGGCCAGGTGAGCCCAGAAAGGTGGAGCGGGGCGGGGGCGCTCTGGGCCCCACCCCGGGATCCGGTGACGCCGGGGCTGGAATTTGACACCGGACGACGGCGGGCAGCAGGCTGCTGAGGGATGGAGTGGGGCTCGGCCCCCAGACACGGCCCGCAGGCTCCACCAGCAGCAAGTCCCTCGGGTCCCAGTCCCTGCTTCCACGGGGGCTCAGAGGCCCGCACCCGAGGTAAGCCCGCCTGCGTGCCCATCCCTGGTCCCAGGCCTGGACGCACGCTCCTAGGGCTGCGGGCAGAGGCAGGGCGGTCTTCACCCGACCTGCCTTTCCCCGGCCCTCAGTGCAGCTCTCTGCCCCTCCCAGACGCTCCTGTCCCTCTTGTCGTTTGTTGGAGTTCGCGAGCCCTGCTGGCCTGCGGTAATGTGAGGCTCCCGCTGCCGCTGCAGGGCACAGACTGGCTGCCAAGGCTGCACTTTTGGCTAAGAGAGGGGCTGCCAGGTGCACAGCCCTGGGCATGAGCTGTGGGGAAAAGTCCAGCACTGGTCCCAGGAAGGGCGCCTAGAAGGAACACGGTGCAGGACCCCAGTGGTGAGTAGCGGCCTGGTGGATCAGGGTGGCAAGGGCCGGACGACCAGTGGGCCAGACGCAAGGAGGCAGAAACACTGCCTGAGCTGGCCTCAAAGGACCTACCTGCTCCTGGGCTCCCTCTACTGCAGAGGCCTCCACGGCTGCCTTGCCTGCCTGGCTTTCCCTCCCTCTGTGGGAACAGTCACTGGCCTGGCCCCAGGGCTTTGGATCGAGCTCACCAGCAGGCATGCACCTGGCCCTAGAGGAGCACTTCCTAGAGGAAAGCCTGGGGGAGTCTATTCTATCTATAGCTGTGCTGACACTCTGTGCTAGGTGAGGGGCATTAGGATAACAGCGGGGATCTAAGAAAAGGCTGGATAATAAGGGTTTGAGGAGGTTCTGGGCCCCAGAGGGTGTTCAGGATTGGACTGGGTGGGCGGGACTGGCACAGGTTGGTGCCACTTGGGCAGGATGGCTGGGATGAGGAAGGTGGCTCAGGAGGGAGTCCTCTAAGAGCAAAGCAGGAGGCCGAAGGGACAGACCGGGGCCAGTGCTCAGAGACCATGCTAGTGTGGGGAGTGGCTGGCCCTCCTGGGAGCAGCTCAGACCTGAGTGCTCAGTTCTGAGAAAGCCCACCTTCCGCCCCTTTTGAGTCTGCATGCTTGGCGGACTCTGCCCCCTGGTGGCCCAGGCCTGTTATTTTCAGAAGGCCCATCAGCCCCACCATCTGCTGTCTCCTGAGGGACATCTGTGGGCAGAAGAGAAAATCAGGAGGCTTTGGGTCCAGAACAGAGATCACAGAGGAGCAAGGTGCAGAGGCACTGAGTGGGCAACACAGGCCTGGGCCTCACTGTCAGCAAACTCTGAAGTGACGGGCAGACACCCATTCCTCTCCAGGCCTCACCTTCCTCCCCTGTAGCATGGGGTAAAGGCTATCTGTATGGCTCTAGCCCGTGTTCTGAGACAGTCAATCTCAGCTTTTCTGAGCCTCGTTTGCTCATCTGGAAGAAGGAGACCGAACCATTTAGTTCATGGAGCTGTGAAAAAAAGAAATAGCTGCACAGGACCTAACACACAGTAAGGGCCTCAGTTGCAGCTACTTCTAGATGGAGTCATGCTACCCACGCCCCTTGTGGTGTGGAGAAACTTAGGTGGAAAGAGGACCTCCCCAAAAGATAATTCATCTTTCAGTTTGCAAGCTGCTTCAAGAGGAGGGTGGGGGAACAGGTCAACAAAGGCTGATGGGAGCTCCTGGTGTTGACAGAGATGGAACTTGGACTTGGAAGCCCTACTGTGCTGCCCCACCTCTCCTGGCCGAGGCGGCAGGTGAGTGATTGCCCCAGACTCCAGTCTGTACCTGAAGAAGGGTGGCTTGAGCTGAGGGAAGAGCAGGACTGGCCTGGGTAGGGGTCAGATGTTGGAGGGGAAATGGTCAAGGAGGGAGAAATCAGGCACATGGCAGAAGGATGCCGGTTCCTCCCCCAGGCTCCCAGAGACAGCAAATCCCTTGTTCTTGAACCTAAGCCCTTCCTGACACCCCCACCCAACTAGGAGCCCAAACTCTCCGATCTCAGCCAAGGACAGGCCAGCCCTGAGCGTCACCCCCAAAGGCAGCCCGTGAGGGCGCCCTCTTCCGGCCTGAGTCCCTACTTGTCTCTCTGCGCAGCCAGCCCTGTGGCCAACACTGGCCGCGCTAGCCCTCCTCAGCAGCGTCACGGAATCCTCGCTGGGCCCTGAGCCCCGCAGTCCCGCCACCCACGAAGGCCCCGCGCCAGTGCTGGCGCCCCCCACCGGCCACCTGCCGGGTAGGTGAGAGTGCGAGGGGGCGGGACAGGGGCCGGGATGCCCAGGACAGCGCATGTGACCTTGTCTCATTCCAGGTGGACGCCTGGCCCATCTGTGCGGCGGAGGAACCCGCCGGCCACTTCCACAGCCTCCCCGGCCCGCACCCCCTCCCTCGTCCCCGTTCCTGTCCCTGCCCGCCTCGCCCCGCGGAGGCCGCACGGCGCGTGCAGGGGCCCGAGGCAGCCGCGAGCGGGCCACCGGGGCACGGGGCTGCCGCCTGCGCTCGCAGCTGGTGCCGGTGCGCGCACTGGGCCTGGGCCACAGCTCGGACGAGCTGGTGCGGTTCCGCTTCTGCAGCGGTTCCTGCCGTCGCGCGCGCTCCCCACACGACCTCAGCCTGGCCAGCTTGCTAGGCGCCCAGGCCCTTCGGCCGCCCCCAGGGTCCCGGCCGGTCACACAGCCCTGCTGCCGACCCACTCGTTATGAAGCCGTCACCTTCATGGACGTCAACAGCACCTGGAGGACCGTGGACCGCCTCTCAGCAACCGCCTGCGGCTGCCTAGGCTGAAAGCCTTATCCAAGAGTTTGTGGACTGGGCTCCTGCTCATGCATCTTTCTGCGACCCTCCTGTGACCCTCCTGCACGGTCCGATGGCTGGGGGGCCTCAGTCAGCGATGGAAACCACAGAGCTGAGGTCCCAGCACGGTGGGTGACGGCCACAGCCCTGGAGTGGTGGAAGGGCTACTGGACTCACCAGCAGCTTCCAGGTGCTCATCCTGGGGCCCTAGCCCTACAGACACCAGAGACCTCAGCTCTGAGACCTTAAAGCCCACCTCTCACAGACTCTGGGACTGGCCAGGCCTGGGGTCGGAGACGCCTCTAGAGAATGCAGCAATGGCCCAAGCCTTGGGTGGATGGAATTGGAGGAGTGGCAGAAAGTGCCCTTACTGGAGATGGCCTTATCCCCACCGATGGGAGCTGGATCCCTATTTATTATTTCTAAATTATTTATTTACTTCAGTGGTTTGTCAGATTGTTTCCTGGGCAGCGGAGAGGGGTAAAGGCCTGGATGGAGATGTGCCCTCATCTGCGTACTCACACACTTTACACTGACTCAGCAATCATAGGCTGGCCTGCATCCGGCACTGCTTATCCCTTCCCAGCAGCTCCAGGATGGGAGATGTGGCACCCCTGGCAGAGTGGGTGGCAAAGTGCATTCCTACACAGCCCGACAGTGGGCCCTGGGTTACCTTTCGGGGTAGAGGAGGACCTGAAGACTTCTGCGCAGAAAGCCTCATCCTGTGACTAGTTGAGGCCCCTGCTTAGTAGGGCAAAGACAGCAACCACACGTATGTCACCCCACTGTCAATGATCAGTGTCTTGCTGCCCAGAGAACACACCTGAAGCCACTCTGCTGGGTATGCGCAGTCCTCCACCTGAAGGGGGCCAGCACAGGGAGCCCGCTACCTTCACTCCGTGAAGCAGCCTAGGGCAAGACAGCATCTGAAAAAAAGGCTGAAGGAGAGAAAAGGATGCACTGAGATGCTGCTTTGGGGGAACAAAGCACAGAGCTTCACAGGGCTCCGAAGGCAGGAAAGGACCCAGGAATTCTGAGGGATCTGCATTTAGGGTAATGAATAAGGATATTCACTTCTTCACCCACAAAGTTTATTTGCTATTAATCAGTTACGTCAGCTACTGGATAGACACTAAGCATATGGAAGTGAAAGACACATAATCCTTGCCCTTAAGAAGCTTAAATCAAGAGAGACAGACAATAAATAATTACATGCATAATTATTTTAATTCCATTTGGCAAATGGTATTTTAAAAAATAAAAACAGGAAGCACCAAGCAGGGTGGCACCTGTAATCACAGCACGCCAGGAGGCTAAGGCAGAAGTATTCCAGGTCCAAGCACAGCCTGGGCAACTTAGTGAGTTAGACCCTGTCTGGCTAGACGTGGTGGTGTATGCCTGTAATGCCAGCACTCAGGAGGCTGAGGCAGGAGGATCCTTGTGAGTTCGAGACCAGCCTGGGCTACAAAAATGAGCTCAATGCCGGCCTGAACTGCATAGCGAGACCCTGTCTTGAAAAAGAAAAAAAAAAAAAAAAATAGACCCTGTCTCACTATCAAAAAAAATAAAAAATAAATTAAAAAGGGATGGGAGTGTAGCTCAGAACAAATGCCTTAGGTTCAATCCCCAGTACTGTCTCTCCCTCCCTCCCTCTCTCTCTCTCTCTCTCTCTCTCTCTCTCTCTCTCTCTCTCTCTCTCTCACACACACACACACACACACACACACACACACACACACACGGAAGCTAAGAGGTACATACTTTCATCAGGTGGCCTCTCACACTGTCCCCAAGTTATCTCCAAAAGATCAATGCAGTCTCCTGAGCTTTTTTGCATTTCCTTTGAAGTCATGTTTTCCAGAGCCTAGGCATTTGTACTGAGGAGATCTGTGTGATTTTGCTTCTTCTGTAGTAAACTGGGGTGGGTGTGTGGAAAGGGCACTACATTGGAGGGCTTGTCAGACATCCACAGGGACTATAGTGGGTTATGCTGGTCTGGAGCTGAGGGTCTAGGTGAAACAGATTTGAGAGGCCTCTGTGCAGAAGCTGCAGCCTAACCTAGGAGAGAGTCAGGGTTGACAGTGGGACCCAAGGCATTTAATACTGTTGACAGCAACTCTTTCCTGCGGGCCTCCTGCTTTGGTGAGGTGACCTTCATCCAGTCTATGTGGGACCCACAAGAGCTCTGAGGGCTGGGCCCATCCTGGGCCAAGGATGTGAACTGTGCCTGTGATCCCCCTCTTCTGCATTCACACAGTTCTAGGTGCCCCCAAAACTTTAGTCCTATTTTGTTCACAGACACTCCCTTGACCCCTCTCTCAGCCTCCAAATTAATCCAGGGTCCTCATTTTCCACGTAACAGCCCAAAGGAAAGGCATCAGTGTCATACAGTTTGCAAGAGGGTAGGTGGGGGCGGTGGGAACATTGTGTCACTTCTGGCAACATTTGGGGCAAGTAGCACCCTGCTGGGAAAATCTGAAGTGCAGCCTGGCCCTCAAACCCTCGAGGGCCTCAAACCTTCCAGATGCTGCCCCTGCTGCTCTCAGAGTTGCTTATAGGAGACAGAATCCATCTGTGAGGATGCTCACTGTGAGAGGACCACACTGCAGCCCAGCCGAGTACTGACTCTCAACCCTCCCCAAATTACCAGTCCTTCAGGAATTCTATTCTGGGCCCCAGAGAACTTGTCCAAATATCTCACAAAATCCTGGAAGGAACAACTCCTCCAGAAAGAACACATTTCCACAAGAAGTAACCCCAGTTTTTAAGTCAAAACAATCCAAATCTCTCCCAAAAAGAAAACAAACAAACAAAATTATTTTCCCAAAGGAAGCAGGATAAGAACTGCATCTGTTTGCAATTTTGCCTAGGTAACCTGTCACATGACCACCCCAGGCAACACACTAGAGCTCCTAGAGCAGAGGGGGCCTCTGGTACTTCCATTCCTGGCTCTGGTCTTTGGTGCACCTTCACAAAACCACAGTGCCCCTTGAGTACCCTTCCCAGAACTACGGATGTCTCCAAAGGGATATCAAGTCACAGCCTTTTACAAGACAGAAAATTATAGGTAGCTTTGAATGACAATCCTTCCAGCTCCAGGGAATACCTCAGACTCCCCTCTAGGTTCACTTTATCTAGGATATGTGGTTCCAGTTTCCCTGTATCCCCCCAACAACAGCTACCTGGTTTACTAGATGCCCTTGGCAGTGACTTTCCACTTTTCTTGTCCAGAGATTTTTCTTTGGCCAGAGGTCCCTATGATGCTGTGTACATGGAGCAGCTGGCTAACTGAGCTCTCATCTTGAAGGGAGAGGTCAGGGAAGAAGTTGAGTGATGAAAGAAAAGATTCAGGAGGATTTGTGCCATGTGATCACACCTTTATTGTTCATGGTAGTAGGGCTCAATCTAGTTTGGGCTTGTGGAGTCCTTTGAGAATGTAATGAAAGCTATAGACCAAATCAAATGCAGCCTACCCTACCAAAATACTAGAAAGGTCACTGATGTCTAAATCTGGTAAACAATTGGGGGGCACAGAATTCTGAAGGTCATTCAGCGGCCCCTTTGGAGTCAATGGGCCCACACTGTGATGTCCTCCTCTAGGTACTATGATAGATATCCTGCCGTGGCTGGAGTGATTCTTCCAGCTGTGCTCACACTCCAATACCGGGCTTTCTATCGCAATTATTTATACTTCCTATTCCTCAACCTTTTGCTATCTCATATCTCCATCTCATCTGTATTTCTACTGGGTCAAATATATGCCATCATTAAAAAAATGATGCTGCAATTGAGAGAGACAGACAGACAGACAGACAGCTGTGCTTTGCTTTCACCTCTCCTTCACTATGAGAGCTTTTGCTGGGGTCGCCAGGGCCTTATTGTTGCTAAACTTAAAGGCTACTTTTCAGCCTTTAGTCCTTTAAATTCCCAGAAGCACTTGGTTTCATTAACCCTTCTTGAGAATCTATCTTCCCATGACTCTCTTGATCTCTCATTCTCTTAGTTCTACTCCTCCAGCTCCTCATTCTGCTCACTTTTGGGTTCCTCTTCCTCTCTCTGCCCCTTTTTTTGTGGGGTGGGGTATAGAGATTGAACCCAAAGCCTTCACTCTGAGCTACATCCCTAGCCAGTTTGAAAACTTTTTTGAGACAGGATCTTGCTAAGTCAATAGATTGCCAGGGTTGGGCTCAAGCTTATGATTCTCCTGCCTCAGCCTCCCAGAGTGCTGGGATGACAGGTGTGTGCTACCACATCTGGCTCTTTTTGCCTCTAAGTGTTGTCTCTCGGGGGTCTGAAAAATCAGTTTTCTCCCCACCCCTCTCCTGCTTCCCCTTTCTTATTCTCTCTTTCTCTCACCCTTCTCTTTGCAACATTACCAACTCCCATGGTTTTAGTTACCACCTCCATGCTAATGCACTCATTTTGTCTGCATTCTAGGGCTCTCTCCTGAGCCTGAGTCTAATTTCAATATGCCTACCCACATATCCTTGGAAACCTCAAACTTCACATATCTGTCCTGATGCTTTCAGTTTGCTCCTTCAAATCCATTCCCCACCCTTCTTCACCCTGTTCTGTGTCCCACATCAATAAGCTTCTCTGCTCACCAGCTTCCAAACCACTTGCAGTGTTCCTCCCTTCTACCTAGTGACACAGGCAAAAATGTGGGCAACACCCTAGACTCCTTGAGCTCTGTCACAACCTTTATCTATTGGTCACCAACTCCTTAGGTCTTACAGGTCCATCTCTTTTCTCTATTCCCAATGCCATTCTGTTGAAGCTTTCATAGCTTTTTGGATGGTTTATTGCTCATCCTCCTAACTGGTCTGCTTGTCTCTAGTTTTAGCTCTGCCTAATCAATTTCAACTCCACAGTCAGAGAAGTCTCAAATCTCTTAACTTTAACTCAGCACTAGCTATCATGCCTTGGGCTACCTATGAGGTTTCAGAGATCAATGAGAAATATGTTCTGCCAGTAAAGGAACCATGGCTGGATGTGGACACGAGGATAATGGTACCAGATTTAGCAAGTGAAAATACAGGACATCCAGTTAAATTTGAATTTCAGATAAACAAAAAACATCTTTTTAGACTGTCCCATGCAAGAATCGGGGCATATTTGTACAAAACATTATTTGTCATTCATCCAATATTCAAATTTAAGTGGGTGTCCTGAATTATTTTTGGCAACTCTAACTGGATGTAAACAAGTAAATAAAAATGCAATAAACAATTGAAAATCTCTCCAGTAGAAGTCCAAATATAGGGGCTGGGGATTTAGCTCAGTGGCACAGCGCCTGCCTGGCAAGTGCAACGTTGTGAGTTCGATTCCCGGTACTGGAAAAAAAACAAAAAACAACAACAACAAAAAGAAGTCCAAATATGTGTGTCAGTGAGGGACAGAGTGTGCATTCACAAAGGAGGACTTGGTTCTAACTGGACTGAAG